ATGATAACTTTTAAAATTGACAAGACTCAAAACAAAAACAAGTTTATAATTGGCTCAAGACGGAATCATGACGTAAAAATTCAATATCAAACTCTGAATTTAGATTATTATTCTACCTTTAACAAAAAATATTTCGGAAAAAAACATTTCAATCGCTTTCATAGATTACATTCCAACTATCTAATTTCACTATCAAAAATTTTAACGTTATTCCATGCAAATTCATGATTGCAATTTATTCTATGTTTGGTAATAATTGAATGCGTTATAGTATTTCTATGAATATGATCCTCATTCAATCTCGATGTTCATTTAGTCTTGTTTTTAATTGTCCCATAGTCTATTCTACATAGCACACAATTGTTACAGCAAATCTTATATATTATATTTCTTTTCGAATATACTGGGAGAAGATATGAGAAAAGAATTCTTTATGAACTTTGACCTCAAACCTTTCAATTTATTCATCACTCAAAGACATAAGTTTAACATTAAAATCATCAATAATTTTTTTGAATTTAATAAAAATTTTCATAATAAAACGTCGTACAAAGCCAACGCCTTACTGCCTGTGTTACCGCTGCTCTTGCTCAATAGTAATGATTAAACATATAAAGCGTCCCGCCCGTATATCGGCCGATTAAACTCATTTTTTTAAAAATTAATTTCTTCGAAACTATGGGCCATTGGCAAGAACGGCCGGACACGTATGTTTTTTTTTTCGTCTCAAGAACAGCCTGTATAAAGCGCAAAATACTCCGATCAGTCACCTGGTGTTCCCCTTGTTAGTCGCAGCCAATTGGTGTTGTGACTAAATAATTTGAATTTACAGTCTCAATAATAAATAATTAATTTCCAAAAATATTCATGCCCAAAAGATGAGGGCGCAGAGTTCAAATTAAAAGACTAAGATTTCAGTTGAATTAAATGATAATTTTAAATAAAGATCTCTTCTCATTATTCCTAAAACTTAAAAAATTGGAAAGTCAACCTAAAACTAAAAGAAAACTAAAATAATCAAGCAAATTCCTAAATATAAATTGAGAAAAATCGACTTCGAGATAAATTATCCAAATTATAATCAAATTAATAAGAAAGATCCGCGATATAAAATTTATAAAATTCGTTTCCTATTCGGGATTGATTAATTCACAAACCGGTCCAATCCCAGGGTAAAGTATTTAAATGTATTGACCCAAAAACGGACAATCAGAACGTAATAAAGTTAAGAACTTTATCAATCATGTTAGAAGGAATAGCTATTGCAATGTCATCGACATATCTATAAAAAATTAATAAAGATATACCAATACTCTTAAGAATCCTCTTCCCCAAATTTCTTAATACTAAATCGGCTATGATTGGTGATAATGGGGAACCAAATGGATGTTTCAAATGTTTGTTTATAAAATTTATTATCAAAAAATGAAAAAAGTTGAATTTAGAACAAACGACTGCATTTAAGAATTCATCCTTAGGAGTGTCGCAATTTTTTGAGATGTCTCAACGCTTAGCGATACTGTTAATCAATCAAGAGAAACATTAGTGAATCCTTATTCCTTATTTCCTTAAACGACATCAAGAGAGATTAGTATATGTAGTCATTAGCTACATACGTGCTAGATAATTTTTTAACAAATTAAAAATTATTCTCAACATGATTCGAAGGCTTTGGGATATCGTTTGAAAGGAGTTTGTTTAAGAAGGATAATTCTAAATTATATGAAATTTTTATAATTCTAAATTATATAAAGTTTTATCATTTGAGGAAACAATTATTCGAAGGGGAACATTCTTGCTTATGTATCTTGAGAAGTCCTTAAGTTCTGAAAAAAATTTTGTCAACTACAAAGAAACTGTTTATATAATATTTCGGATATCTAGATATATTCGGATAATTAGAATTCTTCCAATTTTTGAGAAATTCGTAATTTATTAGTGATAGTCGATATTCTTAGTAAGATTTTTGGTAATTACATTATAGGTCTCAATATCTTGTAACATATCACTTTCAGACAGAAACAATCAGATAGAAAAACGACAAAATCGACTGTATTATATCACATATAATTCAGTCGGTTTTGTCGTTGCTAAAATATGAACTCCGTTTGTTTTAACGGCGCCTTATTTTAACAGATGTGTGAAGTTTTCTTCACATGGATTTGACCCAAGATATTATCGTGTCTTTTGATCAACTAGTTTATTTAATGAAAAGCGAATTAATTATTATAATTAAAACGATTATACGTCGGTTCGCAGCTCGTTCTCATGGTTCTCATTCTTTTTTGCTGGATAACGTCAATCGAGTTGCCAAGAAGAGAAATAGTTTCGGAGAGAAATAAAATATAGAGGATTTGTATAAGCTATATATACAAGTATATTCTTAAACTAGAAAGTTATGTACAGTTACTGACTGGCTTTTACAATGTTAGTTTTGATTGCTATTTACAATACATACAATACATTAAGTTTAATTTCGGTTTTCGTTCTCGGAATCTTGGTCGTTGTTCGCCGAAAATGCTCGCGAATTCCGGGAATCGTATAATAGCTTGACTCGCGGCTTTCCGAGAATTCGGCGTGTCGCGATCATGGGCACGCGGTGCGAGAGAATTTCGTTGCACTCAGTGTTGCTGATCGGCTATTAATTGGCAAAACTTCGTCGTCAAAGTTTTTATTCGGAACAGGTTTTCGGGCCAGAATCGAGACTTAGAATTTGCTGCGGAGACAGGAAGCTCTCTGTTCTGTCCGGCAGCGACGGATTTTGCACACAAGAGTCTGCTTTGGGGACCAAGTTAAGAAGCACCTTAACTTGTGAATAATTTTGTATGCTTTAGATACGGAAGCGATCCGTCAAAAGTTCCTGGCTTTCTAGGTAGTATCCTAGGAAGCTTTCAGGTATCGGGATGAGTATTCATGATCAGCACTGGACTGGTTGCTGTTTCGCCGAGAACAGATGAAAATCACCCGTTGGAGTCAGTTAATATACTCGAATTCATATCGGGATCATAAATCGGGATGAATCGAGTAACAAATCGACCAAACTCGAATTCCTGGGAGGCTGACTCCGCCGGGGATGATTCTGCCGCGAGATTCGCCGAACGGGCTCGACGATTCTGCGGATACATTCGATAACGCGGTCGGTAGCGAGGCCAACGCGCGGACTATTATGATACACGCGTTGTTCATGTGAATTCTCACGCTGTTCGGAGGATCTAATTATGGGAAGGGTGGGGGGTGATTCAGGCGTATCGTTACATAATTATATTTATTCTTATAAATTTTTTATTAATAATCGTATTCATTTTTATTTACAATGTGCTGATTTTTTTCTAGTTTTTTATATTCTCTGAATCTATATTAATATAAGAGAATATATGACTTTATATATATATATATATATATATATATATATATATATATGACTTTATATATATTAAAATACAGCAAAAAGAAGTGATATTATAGATATATACATAAGATGCAATAAATGTTTTGCTGCAAAATTTGTGGTAGATGTTTTATAGTTAATTTCTTTCTCTTAATTTAATAATTATTATATATATAATAATAATTTATTAATTTTTTATTATTTAATTAAAGCTTTTATATTTTATGCCACTTATACGAAAATATTTGATTTTTCAAGTAATATAAAAAAGTAATTTTAATAGCGTATAAATGATGTAATAATGAAATATTTATATCAATATAAAAATTTATAAAGACATGTAATGCGATGATATGAAAAATTTATATTGACATCGATATGGACTGCACAAAAAATTTATTATTTTTTTAGAATTTCTCGTTATTTATTTAAATTTAAATACATTATTACATAGGCTTTCGAGGTAAAATTCAATTAACGACAAATACAGAGTTTAAATTCTTTCTGCTAGATAGATGCATATGCTAGCAACATTCATTCATTAATTTTCGATGTCCATGAAAAATCAAAGTTTATTGATTGGAATAAGAGTGATTTCGAAAAAAAATTTTTATTTAATATATTAATAATTTGTAATATTAAAATTAAAATATAAATATAAAGTATAAAGATTCTAAACTGAAATAAATAAAAAACTAGAAATTTAAGCTGGATTTAAGCGTGCTTATTATTTTATGATTATAAAAATATAAACATTAACAGAACAACATAAAACATATTGTTAATAACACAGACATTTTTATTTAGATTATTTTCAATATGATAACAAAGACATTAAGTTAAGGGGGCTTTCACCTTTGTCGGCTTCAAAAAATCAATTTTTTTTTGCTTATTTTTATTCCTACATATGTGTAGAATATTTCTGTAAAAGGATTTTTTAAAATTCGCAATATTAACGGAGCTACGAGCTGAAATACATAAGGGCGCACGGGCTATCCAAGCGCTCGCCAGCGCAGCAGCACTTGTAAACGCTATTCAGGTCACTATTCAGAGAAAACTGGTAGATGTTGATTTCTATCAGTCCAGAAGGAACCTTAGTGTTACCTTCTATATACTAAATAGTTTAGGAGCAGGTAGAAAGCCGTTAAAACTGCTTGAACCTTGTTCTTTGTCGTGCATAGTCGTGCATTGTCGTCAGTTGAATAAACGTGTTCTCAAAATGTTCCACGATAAGAAAACTTCTAAAACTAGTAGTACTCGACCTGGAAAAAAAGGAAAGAAACGGCGATTCTACGGGAATCAACATTCAAGTGAAAACGAAACGGAGTTTGCCAGTACATCGGCAAAAAAACTGCAAACGTCTAGTGATCATGACGTGCGAGTGGATGTGCTGCAAAGTTATTGTATTATTAGTTTTCTATCGATTTTTCCCAAATTAACTGAAATACTGGAGTGCAAAATATGCAAAAAAGAAGTTCGCTTCAGTAAGGCTGGAGAAATGGGATTAGGATTTAAATTAGTCGTTCAGTGTAGCTGCAAAATAGAAAGCATTGAGTCTTGTCCTCTTATTAACAATCGATCGTTTGAAATTAATCGATGAATAGTGTTTGTGATGCGCATTTTGGGCATTGGCCTGAGTGGCTTAAATATATTTTGTGGTTTAATGAATTTATGCAATGGCTTTACTACGCGCATGTACTATACTGCTATGGATAACATTTACATCGCCGCGCAAACTGTGCACGATCTTAGTTTGAAAAACGCCGCAAAAGAAGAAATCGATGAAAATACAAAAGCAGGTAACGAACCGTTACATTTATCTGTATCTGATGACGGTACATGGAGCAAAAGAGGCTTTTCGTCCTTATTTGGTGTTGTTACACTGATCGGAAAGTACACAAACAAGATAGTAGACGTTGTGGTTAAATCTAGCTTTTGTAAAGCATGTTCACTTCGAAAACATGACAATTCTATAGAAGATTTATTGTGGCAAGAGGAACACGCAGAACAGTGTACGATCAATCATTCAGGAAGCGCTGGAAAAATGGAAGTTATTGACGACGGCGTTATTGAAATGTTCCAACGTTCTCAAAATTTACACGGCGTTATGTACGAAAATTATATAGGTGATGGGGACAGCAAAACTTTCAAAAGTTTAATCAATGAAAACCCATATGAAGACAAATTATTGGTTAAGAAAAAAGAATGCATTGCACACGTTCAAAAACGTATGGGAAGTAGATTGAGAAATGCCAAAAAATTGCACAAAGATATTGGTGGAAAGGGAGCAGGAAAATTAACGGAAAAATTAATTAAAGACCTCACTATTTACTATGGATTAGCAATACGACGAAACACAGAGTCTTTGCTCGACATGAAAAATGCAGTATGGGCGACATATTATCATAAAATATCAACCGATGAAGAGCCCATGCATTCTCATTGTCCTTCAGGATCAAATTCTTGGTGCAGCTGGCGCGTCGCAGAAGGCGCGCTTCAAAATTATCATCATGATCCACCTCTGTCTTCTGACGTTCAAACTGTCATTTATAAAATTTATGAAGATTTATCAGATGATGATTTGTTAACGCGATGTCTCGGGGGGCAATACGCAAAATAATAACGAAAGTTATAACAGTTCTCTGGCACTTTGCGCCGAAACATGTCTTTTCTGGTGCAAAAATTATATCTGTCGCAGCATTTTTGGCAACCTGTACGTTCAATGACGGATTTAAAAGTTTATTGCTAATAATGAACATATTGGGAATCCGTATTGGACTAACAGCAAAGCTATGTGCCGACGAAAAGGACAGACAACGCGTGAGGCAGGCAAATCGTCGCACGTCAAATTCTTCACAAGAAACCAGAACAGCTCGGCGATTGGAGAAACTGGCAGAAAACGATTTAGAAAACGATTTTTGAAGAAGCAAAGGGACTATTATATGGACCTGGTATTGCAGATTAATCGTAAGTGCGCTGAAATTTGTGTTATATATGAAAAAAGTCAAACTAAAACTTTAAACTCGTTTTTCTCGACCATGTTTTTCGAGCTGGCGTCCGTGATAACTAAGAAACTAATAAAGATAATCAAATTTATAAATGGTTTTTTTTCTTAATCCTAACACTTTTGCGCATGGCATGAACCAGGATTAAGTTTTTACAACAAAAATTTGATTTGTTATAGACAAAAATGTAACAGATTTTTCGGACAAAAATTTAAATTTTTTTCTAAACTGCCGTATTTTTTATAAATTTCATGCAATTGGCTTCATTCTGGTTCACGCCATAACGAGACTCATATAATTAATAAAAATCGTTGGATTTTTGGTTTCAGATTATTTGGAGAGGCTGAATCACGGACGCCATGGAGGCGTGTTTTTCCGATGATCCCTATTTCAATCACCATTTGGAGGAATTAAAACGCATTTTTTTATAAATAAAAAATATTTTTTTTGTCGTGTAAATGTTAAACAATTTCTTTAAAAAAACCGCATATCTCTATGTATAACAGATTTTCTTTAAAAAATTCGTAAAAATAGGCTAATTTTATGGCCGGCAAAGGTGAAAGCCCCCTTAAATCAATTGAATATATAAATGTCCGAATGCAGTCCAAAGATAAAAAACATTAAAGGCAAATCGTTGTCTCCAAATTATAAAATATAAACTTTTAAAATTTTAGTATAGAGTCTCAAGATATGAAATTTTCCAGATAAAATTAATTGTAAGCGTTAATTCTCTCCAATCATATCAAATGTAACATAATATGTGTATATAACTAGCGTTCTTGACAAAATTATCTCAAAAAATCATCAGGTTCTTGAAAGTACAACAATTTGTATGCTTTAGAAAGATGGAACATATCATATAACTGTTAAAAGTATGATACATATTAGGTTATATAATATATTAGGTTATATAATACATCTTTCTAAAACGTACAAATTGTTATACTTTTACGTCTTTTGTTCAGTTCAGTACTATCTTTTGTTCAGTTTTTTGAGATAAAAAAGTCAAAACATTTGTTTTTATTAGTATTGTGTTAAGGGGCTGGACTGAGTAAACTCTAACGAGAGCGTTTACACATATGCACATCTAAACATACACAGATACATTCATGTATACATACGTATATTCATACATGCAGGCACGCATACATACACATGAAATTTTCAGGCAAAGTTTTCTCTTATATACATCTCCTAGCTGCATTTTTAAAAGCATAGAATGTTTTTCCTTGTAATTCCATCCCGGGTGAGTATGTGTTGTTTATATGTTCAAAGTCTAAACTTTTATACACAGCAAAATGTTGTCACAAGTCAACCTCAAAAGTCGATAACAAAACTGCAATTTTCTAATTTTTTTTCCTCTTTCATATGAAATATATACACCCGGGTGCGTTAATGTCTTCAATTCTGAAAAAGGATTCTGTATAATCAATGAAAAGATAACCTTATCTGAAAATATCCCGTTCAGTCGGTATCTCCAGCCTTAATGTTAATATTTTTATAATTTTTATAAAATAATAAGCATGTACATCGAGTTTTTTTTCTAATTCTTTATTTATTTTAATTTAAATTTTTGGAGTTTGTTTAAGAATAAAATAACTCAAATTGAAATTGCTGAATTCTTTATATTTGTCTCGCGGATATATTTGCTGAATTCTTTATATTTGTCTCGCTCGTTACATTCGAGGTAAGTGTACATCACGCATCTGTCATGGGGTACACGCGATAAACATATGCTCTGTGGAATTCGCGACGTGGCTCACCTCTACGATCCTCGAAATTAGGACGAATGAGCATTGTACGACTCGCGTTCGCTTCTCGCTCCCGATTGACATGGAGCACTAGACATAATTCGATTCCGGCATCGCCTTTACTGTTGTGTCGTATTCCGAATAAAATTAGTAATTGTTGCCGCATTTGCTGAATTGAATGAGCTGAAAGATAGCTCATAGGAATCGGGAGGGCGGCGGGATTAAATAAGTTAATTCACTAGTTTTAATTAATACATACACTATGAGAAAGTGTTTATTCTGTTCGAGTTGTAAGACAGTAGTCTTGAAATGGAGTTACTCCGATTTTAGTGCGCACACAGTGCCACGTGTACCTGCCATATTCGAGCAAAAGACCGCTAAATGAACGGAAACTGAGGCGCGAGGTTTTATCATATCTTTTACATTAATCTAATTAACCAGAGCTAATCACGATTATTACTAATTGTTACCTAAATCGAACTTAACTATTCGATCAATTTCTCACAGCGACTCCTGACAACGCGCGTCTGATGCGTGTACCTTTCCGAAGGAGAGTGCCACGTTGCTCCAATATGCCGGGAATCAGAGCACAAATCGAAGGCTCTAGAACAGAGGTCGGCAAGTGGGCACTGCTCACGAGCGTCCAATGCAACAGTTGAGCACGCTAGGGCTAGCGTTAGGTCGCTAGGCGCAATAAAGGAAGGAGAGGAGATAGCAGGAACGTCTGTTCGTTAAACGTGTTGTTCAAGGAGTCAAAAGATATTGTGTCGCACAAATTCAGACCCAGAATTAGCATAAAATAATAACTATCTATATTTTAAATAAACATTTTTTACAACAATATTAAATAAACAATTCTTATAACATTTATAATTAGTATTTGATTCATATTTTCGATATTATATACGATATATCGGGTGTTATTGTTTTGGCACAACTTAAACGAATAATTGCATTCAAATGTGAATCTGTTAACTGTTCGCGTAATCGCGATTTAATTTCATAATAGAAAATAATTGTTCATATGAATATGTAGAATACAAGGGTAGTCTGAAAAGTTTTGAGCTTTAACATGAAGATGACGTTACTCGTCAAAATCATTCTAATATTACAATAGTATATGCTTTGAAAGACTTTTGTGAAAATTTCAGCCATTTTGGACGCTCAGTTGTTGTTTGACAGTCGTTTGTGTCAGTCGATGTCAGTGTTTTTGTAAAAATGGAAAAAATTGAATATCGTGCCGTGATTAAATTCTTACATTTGAAAAGCAATAACGCCTGCGCAAGTTAAAATCAAGTTGGACGCTGTTTACGGGGATTCTGCCCCATTTGTTCTCCCATCATCATAAAAAGATGGGTAGCTGAATTTAAACGTGGTCGTACCAACTTGGCTGATTGGCGTTCGGGACGGCCAAAAACTGCGACCACCGTTGATAACATCGAAAATGTTCACCAAATGGTACTGGACGACCGTCGAATCAAGGTTAAAGAGATAGCAGAGGCTATGGGCATATCGAAAGTACGCGTTTGTCATATATTGACTGAAGAATTGAATATGCACAAGCTATCCGCGCGTTGGGTGCCGCGCTTGCTCATTTTGGACCAAAAACGAATTCGAATGAATTTCCAAGGCCCTGTTGGAGCGGTTCAAGCGAAACGAGTCGGATTTTTTGCGTCGATTCATAACTGTAGATGAAACTTAAATCCACCACTACACTCCAGAGACAAAAGAACAATCAAAACAGTGGACTGTAAAGGGTGAATCTGCTCCGAAAAAGGTGAAGACGGTTCCATCAGCTGGGAAGGTAATGGCAACTGTTTTTTGGGATAGTCACAGAATTGTGTGTATCGACTATCTTGAAAAAGATAGAACAATAACGGGAGCGTATTACGCATCATTACTTGATAAGCTAAAGGCAGAAATTGCAAAAAAAAACGGTCGCATTTGAAGAAGAAGAAAGTGCTGTTCCATCAAGACAACGCACCTGCTCACACTTCGGCGATCGCCATGGCCAAAATTCACGAACTGCACTTCGAATTGGTTGATCACCTACCGTATTCACCAGATCTGGCCCCTAGCGACTTTTTCCTGTTTCCTAAGCTTAAAGATTCACTTGGAGGACAGAGATTTTCATCGAACGAGGAGGTCATCGCAAACGCCTATTCTGCGGAGCAAGACGCCAACTACTATTTGGAGAGATTAAAGAGATTAGAAATCGATGGGAAAAGACGACTTAAAAGGAGATTATGTTGAAAAATAAAACTATATTTGACCGAAAAAATACTTGTTTCTATGTTAGGCTCAAAACTTTTCAGACTACCCTCGTATACTCATTATACATACTCATTATACTTATTATTATTACTTTGATTATCCATTACAAACGTTAAATTACAAAATCGCAAATGTGTCTGACTGTTCTAGACAAGAGCAAAATTTGATTATACCGTTGCTTAGTTACTGTTTACTTAGTATTATTATTTATTATTATTTATTTATTATTTATAATTCGTGCCTTTCGACTTTGAATGGCTTCCAGCTTTACAACTACATTTTATTTTTACATTTTACTATACATATGTTTAATATCCTAATCTAATATAATTTCCACTCCCTTTCCTATTGCTTATCTATTGCACTGTTTATCTTTATTGTTCATCTCTCTCTCTGTCCCTCTCTCACTCCGCCTCCCGTTCCTCCTCTCACTCCCTCCTGCATCCTTCTCTCCATCCTCCCTGTCTCCTTCTCCCTCTTCACTACTCCCTTCTCTGTTACTATGCTCAGTCTCCCTTCCTTCATCCTTTCTTTCTCTTCTCTCTCCGCCTCTTATTCTATCTATTCTTTTTAATATATCTTTTCCTTTTCGATCTTGTTTCCAATATTTCTTCTATTGGCATTTCCACCTTGGTAACTTCACATTCTTTCAAGACGTGCCATATGCTCTCCGTTTCTTTTTCGCATACTCTGCATTTCCTTTCTTTTTCTGCTCTCTAGTATTGGCTTCCTCTCGCTGTGTTTCCGCATCTGTATCCAGCTATTAAGTTCCTGTCCTTCTTCTTCATTTTTTCTCGCAGATACACTGGCATGTCCTCTGTCACTATGTGTCTGTAGTACTCGTTAAATTTTGACTCGATTTTTCTCCTTCTCTCCTCTCTCTCTTCTTTCTATTCGCTCCATTATTAGTTGCGTTATTCTTTTAGGCTCCTCGCTCTCTCTTCTCTCCCTCAGTTCCTCTCTGCTTACTTTCGACTTCTCCATCATTATTCTTCTCTTCTTTTCCCACTTGCTTTCTTCGCTTTCTCTTTTTCCTTTTTCTATCTCCCTTATGCATTCTGTTACTAACTTCTTGTTCGTTTTCCTGTTAGTCTCTTCGTACCTGCTTGCTCTTCTTATAGCCTCTATTCTTATTTCCCTCATCTTCGTCTCCTCCAGCAATATGTGGTTTGGTGTCCTTCTATCTAGTCCCAAGATCCATTTTGTATATTTCTTTTTGTCCTGTCTAGCCTTTCCTCATTTTTCCATCCCCATACTTCTGCTCCGTATAATGCAATACTTTCCACTAGCGCATTGAACATCTTCATTCTTCTCTCGAAGTCATCCTTAAACAGTTTCTCTCCAATGCTCCATGTTTGCTTCATTGCGATCATCGCTCTTCTCATTCTTTCCTCTAGGTGCCTTTCTGCTCCACCGTTTTTTGTATGATGTAACCCAGGTATTTCATCTCTTTCACCTCCTCGATGTCCTCCTCTCCCCATCTCCACTCTCTCTTTCCTCTTCGTCCTCTTCCTCTTTCAAAAACTAGTACTTTAGATTTTCCTGGACTTAGTAGTAAGTCTTTCTTTTGGATGTATTTTCTAAATCTCTTCATCATACCTTTTAATTCCTGTTCGTTTGTTGCCAGTAGCACGATATCGTCTGCATAAGTTATTGACAGAATTTTTCCTTTCCTACTACTATTCTTCCTGTTTGTTCCTTTTTCAATTCCGCCTCCAGGTTCGCCAAGTATATATTAAACAGCGTAGGGCTCAATGGGCATCCCTGTCTTAATCCTCTCTTTGTCCAGAATATCTTTGATTTTTTGTTTCCTACCCTCACTATATTCTTCGTCTCTCTGTACGTTTTCATTATTCTTTTTCTTAATCTCTCTTCAACACCTTGTTTTTCCATCATTTCTCCTAGCTTCTTTCTATCCACCTTATCAAAGGCCGCCTTCAGATCCGCAAAGAATGCATACAGCTTTCCTTTCTTCCTCGCTAACTCTCTGTTCGCCACGTAGTTTAGTGTGTACACCGCATCAATGGTTCCTCTTCCTTCTCTGAACCCAAATTATCTTTCTTCAAGATTCTTCTCCATTTCCTTTTTCAGTCTTTCATTTAGCACCTTTGCATATATTTTGTATGCCGTGTCCATCAGCGTCACTCCTCTATAATTAGTTACCTCATTCTTCTCTCCTCTCTTATAAATTGGGCTTATTAGGCCGTTGTTCCATTCTTGTGGTATGCCTCCTCCTTTCCATATCTTGTTTAGCAGCATCACAAAGGTTTCTCCTATTTCTTTTGGCATCAGCCTCCATGCTTCGTTTTCGATATCATTCTCTCCCGGGACTTTTCCCTTCTTCAGTTCTATTAGTTGTTTTATTATTTCTTCCCTTGTTAATTCGTTCTCTTCCTCCTCTCTCTCCTGTTCCGCCTTTTCCGTCTCCTTTTCTTCCTCTTCTTCTTTCGTTATTATTTTATCTTTTGATCCATCCAACAGATCCATGAAGTGCATGATCCACCTTTCTATCTCTATACTTTCGCTTATCCCTTCTTTCTTCTTTCTGTATTTGTTTATGTATCTCCACGCCTCTTCTTCTGTCCTTATTGTTTTTATCCTTTCCTCTTCTTCTCTTTCATGTTTGTGCTTTTCTTTCTTGCACCATTCTCTGTATTCTTTCCTCTTTTGTACGAATTCTTCTCTGCTTATTTTCCCTTTTTTTAGCCTTCCAAGTTCTTTCCTCAGTTCCCTTTTTGTCTTATTCCATTCTTTATTATGCCACGTCCTCCTTGCTATCTTCCATAGTGCGATCTTCTTCTTGACTTTTGTGATTGATTTCTTTACTTTTTCTTTTAGTTCCTTCCAGATTCTCCCACTTTCCGTCTGCTCACATTTCCATCCTACACACTTCTCATGGTATTGCTGTATCCCTTCTTCTGTCCATACACTTGTTACCTTTTCAATAGTGTTGCTTCTTCTCTCCTTCTTTCTGTCAGCGCCTTCCAGCGGAACGTGGTCTGATTCTATTCTGTCACCTTCTTTCATGTTCTTTATCTCCTCCATTGCTTCTACGTTCGTTATGACATAATCTATTACTGACGCTCCGCTTTCTTCTATGTAGATCCAACCTCCTATCTCCTCGCCGCTTCCATTTAATATCGTCCATCCTCTCTCTCTCAGTCCGTTTAGCATTATAATTCCCTCTCTGTTTATCACCTTATCCTTTGATTTTCTTACTTCTTCCCCCTTCCTCTCTCTTGCTTCTATCGGTTCTCCCCTGTTTCCTGTCCTTGCGTTGAAATCACCTCCTATTATTAAGTGGCTTTCCTTTTCCTCTTGGATTCCTTCCAGTAGGACTTCCATGGTTTCCTCGATGCAATGACTGTATACTGTGACTATCCTCCATCTGCTACCGCCATGCACAACTTCCATTTCCGCCATTCCTTTGCTTATTTTCCTCGTGTTGATTAATTTTATATCTTTTCTTGTTGCCATCATGATTCCTCCCTTAGCTCTTCCTTTTTTATTTTCTCTTGTTGCTGGAATGCTGTACCACTGGAATTCATTAGGTAATTTCTTTGTGATTTTCTTCCATGCTTGTTCTTCTACCCATGTCTCTGTTAGTCCTATCACGTCGAATTTTTCAAGATACTCCCATGTGTCCTCTCTTTTGTTCATTATTCCAGCTATGTTCCAGAAACAAATTTTTAGTCTCCGAGCCCTATCCTCCTCTTCTTCCTCCTCCTGTCTCTTCTGTCCTCAATTTCTTCTTCCTCCTCTCTCTTCTTCTAATTTTTCCTCCTTCTCGTTCCATCTATATTCCTTACCTCTCATTGTTATTTTCTTGTATCCTACTCTTGCTCTTTCGCCTTTCTCTCTTTCCTTTTTCGCTATCTCCCTGAGTTTCCATTGCATCTTTCTTTCTTTCTTTGTTAAGTCGTTCTCTATGATTACACCTCTCTCCAGTTCCTTCTTTTTCTTCATGACCTCTTTCTTCTGTTCCCAGCTGTCTATCTCCGCTATCACCATGTTTCTATTTTCGCTCCCTTTTATCTTATACGCCCTCCTTATTTTTATCTCTGCCTTTATGCTATCTTTTAGGAAGTTCTCTACCTCCTTCTCCAACTTCTCCTCTTTCCAGTTGACTCCCTTGATCACGATATTGTTCTTTCTGTCCTCTCTCTCTCTTCTCTCGTTGCTCGCCTCTAACTCTGCTATTCTCTTCTCCATCAGCTCTCTTTCCTGCTTCCATTCTTCTTTTTCTTTTCTTTTTTTCTCTTCTCTTATTTTTCTTTCTTCCATTATTTGTTCTCTTATCTGCTTTTTAAATCTTTCCATTCCTTCTCTGATCTTCTTCATCTCCGTCTTTACCTCCTCCATCATTGCGATCATTCTCTCTTCGAAACCTTTTCTTCGCGCCCTCTTCGAAACCTCTTCATTTCCCGTAGGTATAGTAAACTTGTCAATTGTCCCTTCTTCCTTATTCTTACTCCTGATTCCTGCTACCGGTGCCATCTGCCGCCTCTTCTCTCACCGCTTTCGTTTCTTATTTTAATTCCCTAGTGTTAGAGTCTTTCTCGCTCGCGCTGCTGCATTGGCTGCTTTCGCGCTTGCGCGCTCCAGTCCAGCGCTCGCCGCACGAGGCTTTTTTATTCAGCGTTGAGCAACTCTAACCTCCACTTGCTGTTTCTCCTTTTGTTTTCCTTTGTTCTTATCTTCTCCTCTATTCTCTCCGTTTTTCCTCTCGTCTCTCCTCACTTACTGATCATCTTTTCCCCTCTGTTTGCTCTCTGTTCTCTATGTCCCTTCTTATATTCTTTCGCGGGCAAGGCTTCACGTCTTTACACTTTGCCTGATCCGCCGGAACCTTACTGTTTAGTACTGTTAGTACTGTTTTTTTTTATTTTGAGCGTTTAATAGATTTATGTTTAGCAGATGTTTATTTTGAAACTGTTGGAAATTTTCTTCGCAGAAAGAGAACTATTCTTCTGGATTTAAAAATATAATTTTAAAGCGCTAATTTAAACGTGATATATGTTCGTGATATATTCATAATTTTATGACTGTATTATAAGTTTATATTTTAATATATTGTTATTGTTTATATTGTTTTATTTCTTTGTTATATTTAAATTTTCGTTAAACATATTTAAATGTAATAATTATATTACACAATTTTTAATGAATTATATGCTAAAGCATAAATTTTGACAACTTATAATATTTAAAAATAGAGATAAGCATTTTAATTAAAATTTTCCTATAATGAATGCTTATTATTAGGATCAAAACATATACATTTCTTTATTTGACTAATAAAAAAATTAACTAAATATAAGTTGAATTTATAAGAACTCATGCATTTTGAGTCCTATACATTATAACATATTTTTGCATATTTCATCTTTAAAGCTAGGTTTAGCTAAATTGTTATAAAAAAATTTTATGATATTACAAAGATTCGAGTAAGTATTAATAATTTAAGATTGCACTATCGTTCATATATATACATGCAACGCTATTTTGTAAGTGTGAAATGCGAAACTTTATCCTAAGGTACAAAATATATTAGATACGCTCCTGAGATATGCACACAGGCGGGCACTCGCGGGCGCCCGTGCCCAATTTCATCGTTTTGCCGTCCTCTGCTCTAGAACGATCCCGAATCTATATAATCTAGAACCGGCTTCGTTTCCGGTTCGCGAGCGCCGTTTGCCGCTAATTAATTAATTGTCACCTCGCGAGATGCGCTGACATTCGGTAGGTGTATTTAGAAAAAATGCAAAGTTATTTTATTAATATTCTTGCCTTTTTCTGATATGACTGAAGCATACACATCTAACAAACGAGCTTGCCAAAATAATTATCTGCCGACTATAATAAGAAGCTTTTCTTTTTTCTATCGATTTCTGGTTAGATGCGAGCGGAATAATAATAAGCTTTATCCAAAGAAAAAATAATACAATATGAGTTCAAAATGAATAAAGATTAAAGAAGATAAATGTAATATCTCGCATTCGTAACGGGCATCATGAAATCAAAAAACCGCTTCATATTCCGCAAAATGATATTTATTTTATTAACATAATAGGAAAATTTCTCTAAAATAAATATAAACGTATATAATAAGTAATGAGAGAATTTATACGAAATTTACCGCATCTTCGTAACGTGAGTCATTACCGTTAATCGTGAAGCAAAGACACAGAGAGAATGATCGCCATAGGCATACCAGTTGTACATGTCAACAAAATATCTTTACTGAAATAATCATTATTGCCAACTATGCCTACTGGAACTATCGATACATAAATATCAGTACAATCGATTTATAATCTAAGAATTGCATAATATTTTCTCGTATGATTAAAAACGCAAATATGGTAATGGAAAGATATTATCAATTATATTTGAATCTACTTTTTTAAATCACTTTATAATTGTGAAATAGCTATTTTATTGTATCAGTACGGTACGATTCATCATAGATCATATGCACACAATCGTATTGTAATTTCGGTAATTTTCTGCATTTGACAAAATAACAGAAATTTGTGTAAGCATGTTTGCATAAGAGATTATTTTAAAATATTGAAATAATTTCTATTGCATTATATTAGAAATGATTCTGCAAATTGATAATATGATAAGTTGACATAATTGTTTACTTTCAATAAATTTTATTTTACACTTATTACTTTTATATTTATCTTCTCAAACGACATTTGGTGTCATTCAGATTGGGTTCATAGCGAATTTGATCATCCACATTTCAGATTTATGCGCATTAAAAACTATGTATGAAATATTTATTGTCTAAAAAAAGACAACGCAAAATCCAAAATCAACGCATAAGATATTTTGAAGACATCTAGAAATCTTATTTTCTGATTTTGGACTTTATATTGTCTAGATAAATGTAATAACATAAATGTAATAACAATGTAATAACAACAATCTCTTTGATGACAAAATCGTTAATGTATCACTTCTACTAAATAACATAATAAAATTATTATTGAATATTTATATAATTATTTAAAATATTTATATAATTTTACATTTCAATGACTTCATGATTTCAATATAAAGTCTTTGCCACTATGTGTGCATTAATCTAATGTTGTTATCAAATTAATCTTTAAAATACATCACTAAAGTATTACGAAACTTCTCTAAACAATTAATATCTAAAATTAATATTTAAAAGAGAATAGTTTGACTTGGTTTTCTCAGAAAAAAACAGCATCCACGTGATGCCGTCTACGACAAAACTGCGAATAGTCTTTATTAAAACATTGAACTCTTCTCCATTCCACTCTGTTCGGCGCCGTAAAAGAAATTCGATTTTATGATATTACCGACTTCATCCTCCTCATCATTCACCGCATTCTTATCCTAATTTCGATTTCGTTTGAATCATGCGCGCGTGATATCGATTTACCTGTCGAATAAGAGAAAAGAAAAGAGACAAGGAAGCAAAGAAGAGGAGAGAAGTAAATACAGGAGAGATGTTGGAACGATGACGTCTGGAAAGGGTTGGAAATGGGAAGGCGTCGCTTTCTTGGCGACGGATTTAGATCGCTGCGCCTTCTGATTTCAGTCGTAATCCACAGGATCTCTATAACCGCAAGAGCAAATAGATCATTTCCACTTCCTTTGCGACCTACGAACGCATTTCCGTGAATGAAGATATCACCTACGAGAATTGAGTTGTCGGGAAAGAGAGTAGAGACAAGACATGAACTGCCAAATATGTTCCTACATAATGGATCGTTGTTACAGAACCTATAGAAGCGTTTAACTTATAGAATTGAATGTGAATTGATCACAATGTGAAAGCAAATCAAATTGAAACAAGATTGCGTATAATTATTTCAATCTAATTTTTTATTATTATAAGTTGACATTAATAATAACATAACATTTCCTCTGTTAAAATATTTGTTTTTCAAAATTCCTTCATTCTGTTGAATTGTTTTCTTTAAATACGTGCACATTTTGCAAACGAAAGAATAAAAAATGATAAAGGCAAAAAAAACATAAAATATTCTCTATTATTTATTTAAAGAAATAAAATAGTTTTCTCGTTGATTGATTCTCAGATGTGTATCGGACTTGCGCTAGTCGAACAATGACCACTTCACTTGTCGATCACTTCAAGAATTGCGCGACAAGAATTGTAAGACATAAACGCGCAGCTACGAGTATTAGATCAGACTTTAACAATGAAAGATTCATTGTTACATAGATAATGCAGAGGGATCGAAAAGGAGTACACTCATTTTTGCTTGACCGTTTATGTGTGTTACGATGTGATAGAGCGCAAAAAATTGTGGAAAGGAGCTTTCTTTCGGGCAGACTTGCAAGCATTTAAAGTAAATTCTAACGATTGTAGATTTAAAAACTACCACTCATATTTATTGTTATTTTATTGAAATGTCATTTTCCCTAGTGAAAGTTAGTGAATAGTTTTGTGAGATTCGTCTTTCACATGTTAATTAAATATTGAAAAATATTTAGTCAATAATAATATATTCATGCAATCACAGATTTTCAAACAGAATAAAAAATAACAGCAATTTTTTTTTTAAATAATGTATTTTAACAAGTTATTTTGTAATTTCTTTAAATAGTTAAATTAGTTTTTAAGTTTTTTTTGTAAAACTCTAATACATAAAACTCTAATACATAAAAAATGTTGTTTTGTATTGAAACAGTTAAATTTAGAAGAGTTAATTTATCTTCCTCGATAACTTTTTTCATTATTAATATTTTTGATTATTAATATTTTAATTTAATTGGCTACGATAAGAGTGCATAAAGATATTAAAATTTAATTATTAAGATAAAAGAAATTAAAATTAAAAAGATTACATTTTTTATGTTTAAACCGTTTGAAACATTAAATAAACACATTTATATTATAAAAAAGTTAAAGTGTGTGTATATAAAATATTATGATTTTTAACATTTCCATCAAAGAAAATTTTATAATTAATATTTTTCCGAATGAAAATTTTGAATATTCTGAAATGAATTGTAACAAATAAAAAAATCTAAAATAGTAATTTGTAGGAACATTTCAAATTAATTATAATAATTTAAATATAATAAGAAAAAACAAGGGCTATAGGAGTCAAGCGCAGTAAATAAAGCACGAGTAAAATTATCTACTAAGATTCTTTACAGTATATTTAAGTTTTCATTATATCCAAACGTTTCGATCCACTTTCGGATCATCATCACTAGATACAATTACCATGATAAAAAAATTACATTACAGATGAGGCGCATTAGTCATAATTTCACAGATTCGCACAAATCGACGTAATGATGCAATATCTCGAGAGCTGTCAAAACAGTTCCAAAACTGATGAAGGAAACACTATATAAGATTAATTTAAAAATAGTCAAACCAAATAAACACACATTATGCAAAAGTGTCAAAAAGTTAAAATGAAAAAAAGACTATTGGAGACTCATCTCGATGATATCGCTAATTATAACGATAAAAATGTACACACGTGGAAATAAATATTAAATATTGTAGCATGGTCATAAAATATTAAATATTGTAGCATAAGTCATAAAATAAAATTTTTTAAAATTAATTAATAAAATTAAAGCCGATTAAAAAATAAGGAATGAACGAAAAAAAAACAAGTTTTAACTGTTTCGTGTCAAATATTAGAATGTAAAAAAGAAAAAGGAAATGGAAAGTCAAAATTGTTATGAAGAGAGATACAGTCTATGTATATATATTATTTAGAACAGGGGTGTACATATGGATCAGGAATTCTGTGTCTGTTTGTAAATTGATATCATTTGTTTGTTGTTTAATATGTAACATTAACAGAATTTTTCATCTCTCACATCCACAATTTCACGAAAAAAATTTTGAGTTCATGATAAAAACGCTTTTATATAATGACTATTCATTAAATTTTATTTTTGAAACAATTAATAGAAGAATTAAAACTTTAATTTAATCTTAATAAGAAACACAATAATGAGGACATAGTATGCACAGAAAATAAGAAATTCCTTTGGTTCACTCTTTCTTATGTGAAAAATGTTACTAAAAATTTAAAAATATTTTAAAAGATGTAGAAATAAAATTAACAATTTATAGTATTAATAAACTGAACAAATTTATCAAGGTACAAAAAGATCCCCTCCTACTCTTAGATAAAAAAAATGTTATTTACAAATTATAGTGCACGGATTGCGATGCATCCTATGTAGAACAGACTAGTAGTAGTAGACAATTAAAAGTGAACTATCAGAAAAGAATGTGTGAAAGGAATGTGTTGTTCGCTTAAGTTCAAATTTCTTGCTTATGACATAAATATAGAAAATATACAGCGAAAAACTTTAACATACGGGAAGGTAGAAGAGATCAGTTATTTATCTTTATTAGTTCCTATTAGTTAGAATTGGTTCTGCTCACTTTGATCTACTAACTTATAAGACGTTCAAAAAACTGCATTAACTTTAACACAGAATTTAGAAAAGAAAAAAAGAATAAAATAATCTATGAAATTTTGATATTTTTATCATTTTTTGATATATGATATGTACATCCTTTAAAATCTTCAGAAATAAGATGATAGTTATACAAATAAATACCGTGCAAAATTTCAATTTCAACGTTACAAGAAAAAAAATAATATAAAATAAAGATAAATACATAATAAATACATAATTAAAAGAAATTCGATGATGTATTTACCACTTAGAAGAAAGAGTCCGCAAGCTATAAGAGTTCTGTGATCGGAATAACAATGGCCGATCAGAGCCGATACCGTTGCGGCGAAGATCAATATCGCAGCGATCACTTGAAACGGCGCAGAGATCCTGAAACAAGAAGAAGACAGAAATTTTATGTAGTTATGGAGACTGAGGGGGCATCAATCAAGTCATTTGTGTAGCTGCAACGCGATGCATTTTAACTGTATCCTTTTAAATATCCTTACATGTTGCATTTCCTGAGAAGAAACAAAAGTAATTAGCAAATAGCGATTGCTGTTGTCATTGCTGTTGCAACCGCTTTTAGAATAGATAGCAATTTATAGCAACTTATTAGGGTAACTTTACTTACTTTTTTTTCCACGTACATCAAATCAAGTATAGTGGACGTTTGAGAAAAAAAAAAACTGTTGTACCAAATTAAAAAATAGAATCTAATTGATAATCAAATCTTTATACAATTGAAATACATAATTTGACTAAGGTGGACTTGTAGCTCAATTTTATAGGACTGTAACTTGTAACAGTTTATAGGACTGTAACTTGGCACCAACTATTGATATCAAATCTTTTATACAAATTTTATATATTATTACAATTTGAATTGGAAGTGTGAAAAATTTTCTCTTTTAAAGAATTAAGGCTAGTATCGTTTAGGTCAGAATAGAAAAAAATCTTCATTAAAAATTTAAATTTTTTTTAAAGAATTAAGACTACTACCATGTGAATTAGAGTAAAAAGATTCTTCAATGAAGATACAAAGATACGTACTATTTAGATTCTATTTTCTTAAAATAAAAGATATTGCCGGTAAGATTTTATCTTTTAATACATATCACTTGGATATAGAATAACGCAATTTTATAGTAGGATTATAAGGATTATAGGATCATGTAAAGCATGTAATATCAAACGAACATTAGACGAAGAGTTGGAATTTTATTCAAATTAATAACGGCGGAATTTACGTTTAACATTATGATTTCTTCAAGCTGTCGGGGATCAAAGATTTAGTTTAATTAGAAGTATTCTGTCTATTCCTTTCTCTTTCTCTCTCTCTCTTTCTCTCCTGCAGGAAAAACACCAGAATCTAGCGTATTAAAATCATTGCTTTGATGTATCGTAATTATTTATTATGATGACACTCTGCTAAATTGGCCTCTTGCGATCTCTGACAAAAGGTTTTATAATTAAAGCACCTATTTACTTTAATTAACTATTTACTTTAATCAACGGAATCGCTATATTGTGTCTACTATTCAAAAGGTTTAATACAAATCCAAATATCATGCGAATATCTGCATTTAACAGCAAATAGTGAAAAATGATTACGATTGCTAGCAGACAAAAAGTATGTTTCATAAATTTTTTTCCAAGAGTCTGAAATTAATATAAATTAATATCAATTTAATAAGAATATTAATATAAAAGTAATAAATTACAAAATAACACAAAAAAATAACATACAAAATTGATATAAAAATAATAACTGTATTATCTTTTCTTAACGGCTAATTGCAAAATAAGAGATATATGTTTTATTTAAAGTGTACAAACTTTGTTTATATATATATACATATATAAGATATCCTGTAAAGACTGTAAAAACGTTTAAGAGTAAATTCCTCAGATTTGAGACGAAATTTTGAGACGAAAATCCTAATACCAAAATGTCGAGGCTATAATGCTTTTTGAATTATATTTAAAGTTAGCGAATCAAGTTCGCGCGCTCAAGTGTAGTATAATGCAAAATAAAAACGTCGAAAGACGAAAGTTGACTATCAAAATCCCTCTAGTAAAAATTGATATAAAGATTATAACGTAAAGATAATGAGTCATTTTTACTGATATTCACGTAAATATACTGCAGCAAATTTTTTGAAAATAATGTCGTTTAACAACTTGCTATGTATTATATAATAATATGTAATAATTCATAATAATATGTAATATTTTTTATAAAGTAATATTTTTATAAAATTAAAAAATTTTTATGTAAAAACACTTGGCGCTGTTCAGATCAAATGAGGAAAATAATGAAAATGTAAAACTTATGATGAAATTATTTGAATGTTATAAATAAAGACAAGATTTATTGTTTAATATGGTAATTATAATTTTATATTGTGGCCGAGCGGTAGTCCGCTTGCTTTTGGCCCCCGAGTAATGTTGAGAAGATCGTTCCTTGCTAACACCGTTACTTGCGTTATTTTCTATTGATTGATTGGAGAGATTCGAAAGATTTATGAGAAACGATTTTGAGAGGTTTTGGAATTGTATAACGAGCTGTGTAAATTGTTGAGCTTATTAAAGTTCGTTCTTTATATACATTCTTTATATACTTCTATTTATTTACACGTATCGCGTGAGTAAGTGTTGCGAGTGACTGCCGCAGAAGCGCGACATTTTTGGGGGCTCGTCCGGGATAGAAGACAATGGACATCGAGAAGTGTTGAAAGACCAATCGAAAACGATGAGCCACGAGGATCTTCCGTAAGTAGAATGATTCACGTGGCGAGGAAAAGGATTTGCATGCGCACGCCGGAGGAGGAAGAGATGTCGAGTTTGGAGGCCGTTCTCCGCTCTACACAGGAGGAACTCTGTCTTCTTCGGGAGGAACAAGCAGTGCAGCGGAGTGAAACTGAATTTTTACAGCGAAGGAGCTACGCCAAATGCCAGGTCAGTCTAATTTTAATTTATTCGAAAGAAATTTGGGAATTGAACTTAAGCCTGATACGCATGACGGAAGTGTCCCGCTGTGCGAATTTTTAGCTCAATTTAATTTAATTGCGCAAGCAAAAGCTTGGAGAAATTCGGAAAAAGGAGTCGTGTTAGCCGCATGTTTGAGAGGAAAAGCGCGTATAGTTTTAGAGGAGAGAACAGATTTAGAGAATTCGCAATTCTTCGAGCTTGTATCTAGGTTAGAGTTACGATTTGGCGAAAAATTTTCGGCTCAAAATTTTTATATGCAATGTACAAATCGGAGACAAAATTTTGAGGAAGATTTAGCTTCTTTGTGATCCGATTTGGAACGTTATCTCGTTTGGCTTATCTCGAGTGTTTGCCGGCTTTACAGGAGAGATTGCGTGTTCTTAATTTATTGTCGCACTCATGGACGGGTTTATTAAACAAACGCTTCAATTGGAAGAGCTTATGTCATTAAGAGCGACAGTGAAAAGGGCCGTAGCTATTAAAATTATAAAAGAAAATAGTTTTTTGAAACCTCGGGAAGAGGAAAAAGAAAAGGGATACGAGCGGGAAGACTTTAAAAAAGGGCGCAGATTTGTAAGAGGAAAGGAAAGGGATTTTTACGGAAGAGATAGGAAATTTATAAAACAAAAAAATTTTTCTAAAATTTGTAAGAAATTTGTGGAAAAGAGTGTTGGCAATGCGGGGCCAAGGGACATTTCCGATGGCCTTCACTTTTTCGAAGCAAGGAAACTTGGGTTAGCCGAGCTTAGTAGGGAAAATTTATTGAGCTCGATTGAAAAAGAAAGACATTTTTTTTGCGGAACTTGAGGGAAATTCAAGTGATTTTTGTTTTCGGCGTTCTATTGATGGGCAAACATGTATTTTTAAGATTGATACGGGCTCTGATGTCTGAATTCTTAATAGCAATTTTGTTAAATCAGATCGACAACGGCTTTGGGTTGGAAGTAGAAAATTGAAATATCCCACAGGTGAAGTAGTTCTTATTGACTTTAAGGTTGTCGTTGGAGTAAAGCTTGGTAAATATTCATTGGATTTTCCCTTGTACGTAGCAAAAATTAGTGATGAATGCATCTTAGGGGCGGATTTTCTCTCTAAGGTTGGACAAAATAAAGTCTTTGATTTAGTTTTTTATGAGATACAAGAAGAAGAAAATTTTTCTTGTTCGCGAATAAGCGATCCCATTAATAAAGTTCCGGACTTCTTGTTGAAATTTTTTGAGAGAAATTCTGAAAAATTGGATATTTCGCAAAAAACATGTTTGGCTGAATTCATTATTGAATTTCAGGATGTCTTTTCTGAAAACATTGTTGCAGGAAATTGCTCAATAATTGAGCATTCTATTACGGTTGGGAAAGCTAACTCCATTAAACAGGTTCCTAAGCGAATTCCTTTGCAAATGCGTGATAAGGTGGAAAAGATTCTTGAAGAGATGAAGCAACAAGATGTAATTGAGGAATCTCATTATCCTTGGATATCTCCTGCGGTTATGGTGAAAAAGAAAGATGGAATATTGAGATTTTGCGTCGATTATAGAAAATGTCGTCACCGAGAGAGATTCTTATCCATTGTCTAGAATCGATGATCTTCTTGATCGATTATTTGGGAATCTGGTTTTCTACACTCTTGATTTGAAAAGTCGGTATTGGATAAAATTGCGTCCTGAGAATAAAGAGAAAACGGCATTTTCGATAGGTAAAGGTTCATGGTAGTTCACTGTTATGCCTTTTGGACTATGTAATACTCCAACAACTTTTGAGCGATTAATGGAGAAGATTCTTCATCAACTATTAAATAAAATCTGTTTAATCTACCTAGATGACGTTGTTATTTACAGCAAAACTTTTGAGGGAATGTTAAATAATCTTCGGGAAGTTTTTCTTCGTTTGAGATCGAATTTAAAGATTAATCCAAAAAAATGTTCTTTCTTTAATAGGAAGGTAAAATATTTGAATCATGAGGTTTCTAGAGAAGGGGTCTCAACAGATCCTGAGAAGATTGCTTGTGTATGGGATTGGCTTGTTCTTCGAAATAAGAAACAGGTGCGTAACTCTTTAGAATTTTGTTCATATTACAGAAAATTTGTGAAAGGTTTTTCTTTGATTGTTAAGCCTTTGTTTTCTTTAACGGAAAATCAGTGTAGATTTACATGGAATGAACAAGGAGGCATTTGAAAAGTTAAAACAATTTTTTATTTCTTCTCCTATTCTATTCTTTCCGTTTGAAACAGGGAAGTTTATTCTTGATACTGATGCTTCTAATCACGGTATTGGCGCTGTTTTGTCTCAAATACAGGAAGGTAAGGAAAAAGTCATCGCATATTATAGCCGTGTCTTTAGCAAAACAGAAAGGAATTACTGTGTGACTCATTGCGAGTTATTAGCGATTGTGGAT